TTTCTTCCTATTTTCTATATTTTATATCCTATATCCTGAGTTATTTTTGAGTTTATATCCTTTGAGTTTATTCCCTTAAAGTTATATTTGAGTTTTCTTTGATGTGTATTGTTGTTACGATAATTTAAGGGTAAAGATGCAATTATTTCTTCTTGTTGCTTCTTTTTGTGACCTCTTTTAGTGCTTGTACTTTGTGAAATAGTAGTATTATTTAAAAGATTATTAAAATCATCTGAAGGTGAAACAACTGCTTGTTTTTTACAACCTTTTTTATTTGAATTATTTGTACTTATTTTTTTGTTTGCATGTTTTTTTGCATTTTTGAAACTTATTATGATATAAAATAATGAGAAAAAATAAATAATGAACTAATCAGTAAAATAAAGAGAGTAAATAAATGTAAAGACAATATAATAGTGATAATTTGATTATTAATTTTATTTTTATACAATCAACCAATAAGGTTATAATAAAAAAAGTAATTAAATAATTAATAATTTGATTATTATTTTTTATGCAATCAGTTTACAACTTATAAATTGGAAGTTTTGTTTCTAATATCTTTAATGCAGCAAATTCTGAAGGGTGTTTATAGGAATATTTGATGCTTTTTAACTTCCAATGTCCCTGATATTTATTAAGTATTTCACAAATAAAAATTGAGATCGAAGAAGACAATATATTAACATTGTATTTATTGTAAAGAATGACAATTGGTGCAGCTTTGACAATGTTCTGTAATTTAACAATTATAATTAAATTATCTATCTCTTAATCTAATAACCATAGCTTATTATAAGACCTTTTTCTTCAACTATTACTCTGTAGATTATATAGTAGTTCATTGAATGTTAAAACACGTTGAACTGTTATTTTGAGATTGTCATCTATATTTACTATTGATAAAATTTATTTTCTATCACTGATTTTTTATAAACTATAAACTCTCTATAACTGTATACTGCTAAAAATTAATAATAAAAATGAACATGTTTTTTAGTATCAATGCTTTATTATATCTGAGTTTTATACAATATAAATATGCAATAAATAACATATATCTATTAATCTTTATAGATGCTTGCCCAAATTATAAAGATTCTTTCTATATATTTTCATGCCAAAGTTCTTTGTTCCTTATGACTTTCTGACCTGGTCTGAAGTACATTTGGTCAAACAATAAAGAATTATTTAAAGAATACTAAATAATATCAGTAATAGATAGATAATACATTTTTTTAGTATCTTTGGAAATAGATAGTGTTTTCTTATTTAAAATATAAATATTTCTTGTCTTGATTGGAAGTAATAGTAATCTTTGCTAATACTTTCTAAACTAATGAATATTTGTTACAACATTCTTATTTTTAAATTGTGGGTAGCAAATTATATCCACTAATTTGTCATAAGCTTGAGTAGCTATAAATATATACAACAAATTTAAATTTAAATTTTTATGATTTTGTTAATAACAAAATGAATTTTTCTTACATATTTTATGCTTTTGAATCCAAAGAAACATCAATACCTTATTGATATTTTTAAAATATGAAGCAAATTCACCATTAACAGGTAGTATTTGCTTAATATCTAATGCTTTATCAACAACTTTATCAGATTCTTCTTTTGGCACTTCATTATTATAATCTACTAGTATTTTATTATTGTCTAATATATCCTTATCAAATAAATCAGATTTTTTATTTGATATTTGCTATTATAATCTACCAGTATTTCTTTATTATCCAATATTTTATTATCAAAAAAATCTAACTCTTTTTCGCTTGACACTTCATTACTATAATCCATAGGCATTTTTTCTTCATCTATTATTCTATCATCAAAAGAACTTCTATAATTTATTTTTTTCAATAATTTATTGACGTCTGGTATTATATCTTTATTAGATATCTCATGATCATTCATCTTTTTATAATCAGTCTCTTTATTAGCATATTCTTTAGAGTCTACTGGCATATTAAGTATATCATGTGGGTTTTTTATATAGTTTTGACACTTTTTAAAAGAAACGTACTGACTGCAAAATATCATGAACAAGAGTTTTTGAAATATTGTTATATATATATAAAGCAATAGTTTCATATAAATCTGCAATCAATCAGAAATCAACTCTCTAAATATATTAATATTTAAATTATATAGTAAATATAGCGACAAATTTGACAAGTTTGATAAAATTCTTATAATTCAATAAAGTATTTTTGATCAAACCTTCACTTATATCCTTAGGATCAAAGGATTTTTCGATAATAAACTAATTATCCATTAAATGCTTAAATTGATATAGAAGATTCATTAAAGTATGATTTATAAAAGAAAAATGTTTGTCAATATCACCATCAAATAGATAGCGTACTGCAAACAGTATTATATATTATTTTAATAAATCTAGGTCTACATTTTTTCAATTTGATCATAATACTGCATTTTTAAATATACAGTGCACTATTTCTTTTGTTTCTATACTTGTATTTAATAAAGTAGCATAGTTTTTTGTATGTTGTACTAAATAGTAACTAACATATAAATTTGGAAAATTCTCAAAATCCTTGAATGTTTATAATTAATAAATGTATTATTTATGTATATAACAATATATAACAATTAATATTTATTTATTTTTAAACTCTTTTAGCAAAGGATGCTAGGAGCAGGGTTAAAAATTCATTGTGCATGTATTGTTTTTTTTGCACAAAAATTAACAATTACTGTGCAATTGCACAAAAAATAAATAATATCCTATATACAAAATTTTCTTGCACAAAATGTTTGTGTTGAATTTTTAGCACTGGCTAGAAGGTGTAATACAGAGCCTTTTTCAAGTAAATTTACTAGTAGATTTGTAGATGCAAATTTCATATCGTAATTAATTATGCACATGCATTAAATTAGAAATAAAGTAAAAAATATGTTATGCGATAGTTTTTGCTTTATTCTAAATTAATTCCATTGCATAACATATTTTTTACTTTATTTCTAATTTAATGCATATGCATAATTAATATAATACAATTACAATACGAAATTCGCATCTACTAGTAAATTCAGGTCTACAATTAATATTTTAATTACTTGTAAAAATAATTTTCTTCATTATCTAAACATTCATGCAATTCAATATAATCAGCATCTGTAAGGAATTGTTTAAATGCTATTGTCATTGTTTTTGCTATCAATACCCAATATTTCAGCCAAAGTTTTGCAGCTAAATCACTTTGTGAAACTTCAGGTCATTGCTAAAATATAGTAAGTTCTGAATTTTTGAAATGTGAAGGTTTTAAAAATCTATTAAAAATAAATGGCATTATCATAGCCAAATATAAGCCATTTAACATTATAAAACTGTCAAGATATAAGATCAGATTTAGCAACTTTT